GTAGCTGCAAAAAACCCATACTAAAGAGATGAGGGATCGATCGACCTAAATATCATATGTATCGATGGAAGAGCAGTCTCTGTTTCATAGGAAAGGATAGAAAGGGCCATGGAGACCCAACCAAGAAGTAATCATTCCAAATAGGGAAATGTCTGCGTTGTGCTAAACGAGGATTGATAAAGAAAATCTCAGGACCATGAGTGACAGTGTAAAATATGTAGGTCAAAAACTTCTTATGAAATCGTAAAAATCTGGAGCTGTTAAACTCATCCCTTAGTTGTAAAACACAGACAGAGCAGATCGTTTGCATAAAATTCATCGGTAAGGTGAGTAACATTTCTTGCCCATCGGATTTTGCTTTCTCACTTGATTGTACTGATATCCTGCACTTTTCCCTTCTGATGAAAAATGGCTGCTTGTTGTAGTCGCGAAAAGTTATGTCACACATCCTTCACTCTTTCGTTACCTCTGTCAGGCGTAGCTTTCGCTTTTCAATTGCCGTCAGTGACTTGTATATAACGAGCATATATTTTCGATTATTTAAGACCAAAGAAAGATCGAGGAAAAAAAAGTTTGAACTTAAAAGTTACTGACGAGGTGCAGTCGCAGTGTTGAGTTAAGACGTATATGACTTAGTGGACCGAAACGTCTTATCATCTCATTCCTGCCTCCTTTCCTCATTCTTTCCTGCTTTCTGTATTCAATACGTCTTCGAAACTTTGGCATCCAAGGTCCACCTGCTTGCTACGATCGGCTTAAACTTCTGAACGCAAATCCTCGCGTTCTTTTTCATTCCTTTCAGACTATTGTTTACCTTGGCTAAAACAGTGATAGCGTGCATATATGCATACCCAGGATTCACTTACAGGTTACGGCAGTATCGGCACAGCTGCAGGAAAGCTCCGAAATGGACGATGCGCGATTGATCGAGCAGCAAACTGATCTGATCAAAATGTTGGACGCGGTGCGCACCCATCAGAGTGACATTGCATCCGCACCAAGTATGCAGTTCCAGTACTCTGACACAGTCCCTTCCTTCCGCTCCCCCCACTTCCCCGAATTCTTGTGCATCAATCGCCGTAGTTAGCTGTTGATGCCTCTCCCCGAATTTTCGCAATAATTTAAATTTTTGTTTCTATCCGGCCCTGACGCACTTCTCCTGTGAGAACGAATTTATAATCTCTCTATTATTTTACGATCCTTTTTATGTCGATTCGCTTGAGTTGCATTCTTGAAAACTCATTAAAGTTGTGAAGAATACGAAATTTGATGGATTGAATGGTTGGCATGTTAATAATAATAA